TTTTTTTTTTAATTGAAGTTTCAACTGTCACAATTCCAGAATAAGAATATTTTACACTTTGTGCTTATCTACCAAGATCTTACTTTTTAACAACTGACAAACTGTTTCCTAGTTACATAAACCTCTAAAGCAATATATATTGCTTACCATCCAATTAGCCTACTGCTATACTTTCAATTTAGGTATGAGCTACTTTAGAGTGACTACTAAGTTTATGAAAACTGTGAATTTTTTTTAAAAATTTATTATTTGAGAGGGAGAGAGCAAGCGAGCTGGAGGGGGAGGGAGGGAATATCAAGCAGACTACCTGCTGAGCACGGAGCCCCATGTGAGGCTTGATCTCACAACCCCGAGGAGATCATGACCTGAGCCAAAATCAAGAGTCAGATGCTTAACCGACTGAGCCACCCAAGCGCCCTGAGAACTATGAATTCTAAACTGAATATTCACTATCTTATTTCTGATGTTTGTAAGAATGGATGAGGCAATAAAACCCCAAATTTCCTCAAAAATTATGGTTTTCCAATAGTTCAGCAACGTGCAGACCATCCATACCTTCTTCACGTTCTGATCTAAGAGGAGGTCCTCTTCGGTCTCTGTCATCTCGCCTCTCCCTTAGATCACGGCGATCATCTCTCTCCCGACGACGGTCATCCCGATCCCTATCTTCACGGCGATTTGAATCTCTCCAGCTCGAAGATTCTTCCGCTGGTCCTCTTCTCCAGCCTCCTTCATCCCTGGAACCATTCAAAATGACATGCTGAAGTTCTGTCGTTAAGACTCCAGAGAGCACATTCAAGTTGATGTTCACAGAGTTTACAAATGTAACAGGGATGACCTTTAAACTTCTGCCTTGATCTCAATCTGATGCTTCAGGTGTAGAGGTGGAATGAGAACGTCTGGACCTGTGCTGTCCAACACAGCAACCACTACTCGTATGCAGCTACTTAAATACAAATTAACGGAAACAGAATCAAGACGTTCTGTCAATAGCACTAACCACACTCCAAATGTTCAACAGCCAAATGTGCTTGCTGGCTACCATACTGGGCACTGCAGATACAGGATGCTTTCATCCCTGCAGAAAACTGTATTAAATGGTGTTGGTCTAGATTCATCAGCATAAAGCCACTCAGGCCAGAAGCAGCAAGTTAGAACTGTTACCGCTAATAAAAATCCAAGGGGCTTTTGACAGGGCTACAAAACTGAGTAACTAAACCACAGGGGAAAGGCAATGGGCTGGCAAAGATACCTGTATAACTAAAGAGTCCTACCACCCAGTGTCAGCCTCACTTTCTCAACTTTATTAAGAGGGACATTCAATTGAGGCACGAGGCACACCATTTCTCAAAGAGAATTTAAGAGAATCCTAACTGTAATTCCACAAAGAGTTCCAAAGCAAACCTAGGTCGTCGGAAGCGGTCCTCTCGATCCCCATCTCGCTCTCTGTCCCGCTCTCGCTCTCTCTCTCGGTCTCTTTCTTTCTCTGAGTCCTTGTCGTTTTCGTCACGATCTTGGTTCTCTCTCTCTCTCTCTTTTTCCCTATCCCATTCACGTTCTTCTGATGGTCTTGATTCTCGAGGTGGACCCCAACTCTCTTCTCTGGCTTTTTCTTTCTCTCTCCATCCACCTGTTTTTATTTTTATTTAAAAAAAAAAAAGGCAAAAAAATTTTATACTCAAGAAACACAGATTAGTAACAATGAATAGAGATCTGAATGTTGACATTAATACCACCACTGTAAGTGCTAATTTAAGACACTCCGACCTCATTTAAAAGAAAACTAAAGTTACCTTATTTTACAGAATCACCGGCTCCTATTTATGACTACCTATCACTGTTTTTCTAACATAAAGGGAGGAAGGAACATGTAAGATAAGGGAAATTTATATAGTCTGGGCTGAGTGTTCCATATGCTGAGATTTCAGATGTAAAAATCTGTTCTGATGGTAAACAGACAACTCATTTTAAGCAAAAAACTTAAAGAGTCAGAGGTAGGAGCCAGATCTCTGAGAGAGCCCCAATTGTAATTTCATTCATATCTTTCATTTTCAAAAACCTTTATTACCAAAAACTTTCTTTTCATATTCTTGCCCTCCACCATTTACCACCCATGCAATCATGGAACAAAGATAAATCCTTTGACCAGTATCTCACACTTAGCCATGGGATGGCCCAAATCAATAAATGTCATATATATGCACAAAGAGGCCAAAGGGAACAGATTTAAACGAAAAATCTATTACGGGGCGCCTGGGTGGCTCAGTCGTTGAGTGTCTGCCTTCGGCTCAGATCACGATCCCAGAGTCCTGGGATCGAGCCCCACATCGGGCTCCCTGCTCAGCAGGAAGCCTGCTGCTCTCTCTCCCACTCCCCCTGCTTGTGTTCCCCCTCTCGCTGTGTTGTGTCTCTGTCAAATAAATAAAATCTTAAAAAAAAAAAAATCTATTACAAGGTTAATTACTATTGTCGGTAATATCTGTATTATCATGTGCCACAGCACTATTCTAAACCTTCTGTGTATATGAGCTCATTTAATCCTATGCATAGCTTTGAGCTAAATAGATCCCATACCTGCTAATTTACCTACTTGCTGAAATGTACTTGTAAACTGCTAACGTGAACACTCGGGCACTCTGTCACCCACAGACACGTGTAGAGCGATCAAATACTTCGAGTTGCCCACAGAGCATGTTCACAGTAGAGGTCGAAAAAGGCAACGTTTTGTCCTCTTGCTGCAGCTCTCATACTTTAAAACAAGTAACCCTTTTGGTGGTCTGTTGAGTGACAGGTTTTCTCATTTCTGTGCTTTGTTGGTGATTTCACTTTTTTTTTTTTAAGATTTTATTTATTTATTTGAGAGAGAGAATGAGATAGAGAGAGCATGAGAGAGGGGAGGGTCAGAGGGAGAAGCAGACTCCCCACTGAGCAGGGAGCCCGATGCGGGACTCGATTCCGGGACTCCAGGATCATGACCTGAGCCGAAGGCAGTCGCTTAACCAACTGAGCCACCCAGGCGCCCTAAATAAGGTATCTTTAAAACAGAAATGCACAAAGAAGGTGTTCACTGGTTGACAGAAATGCTGTGACCAGAGGCCTTATGAGGACCAAACCTATACTTCCCTTAGGAGCAATGGTTCAGTATTCATAGTGACTTTATATAAAACGTTTATCATGACGTAGTAAGAATCTACGACACTGTTCTCCCCATTTTATACAAGAACAGGAAAGACATACAACCAGACAGTGGAATGAACTCAGACCAGAAGAGATAGAAATATGGCACAGAAGGAAAGGAGGCTACTCGCTGAAATCTTAGTGTAGAATGGATTACTCTGGTTACTGCACCAAGACTAGACCTGGGAGTGGGAGAGCCTACAGGGACCAGCAGCAGCAAGAGTCCAAGGAAGGAATGATGGTGGCTCAGAGCCAAGTACTTGCAGAGAAGTGGGTGGATCTGAAGAACATTAAGAAGGTAGAACTGAACTAAACGAAACATTTAACATAAAAGGACGAAAGACGGCAAAGGAGAACTCCCAGACCCCTAGCTTATACAATCAGATGGACGGTGGTGGACCTGAAGAGAAGCGTGTGGGTGAGAATTCAGTTTCGACAGGATGAATATGACGTGTCACAGACACTTCTAGGTAGAAATGTGCTATGTGCAACATGCAGCTGGAAACATGGGTCTGAAGGTAAGGAAAGAAGTCACCCAGAGAAGACAGCAACAGAAATCACAAACTTATATACAACTGCTCAAGAACAGTAAAATTTGAAAACATGAGCAAGCCCAAGACTGAGAAAGTAAGAAACTGAGCTCTTCCCATATAGTATAACCCCACGGTTGACAGAGGAGTGCAAGACAAATATTGAGTAAGTGGATTTTTTTCAATATTTACATGAAAAGACTGGTCTAGGACAGAACCAGAAGAACACCAATACTTAAGGGATGGGCATGGGAACAAGAGTCCTCAAAAAAGCAGTCAACAGGCAGAAGGAAAACAAAGTACACATCACTAAAGCAGAAAAAGGGGTAAAGTTCTTTAACTTCTTTTGGTGCGTGGGACATGGAAGCCAAGCTCCATATATAAAAATCACTGCACAGATACCTAAGGAAAGATAAAAGACCAGTTTATCTGGAAACTAATAATAATACAGCCTGATCGCTGTCATACATAATTAAAATTTCACTTTTTCAGCTGAAGAATAACTTTTTATTTAGATATCAAAATATAATCAGTCATTTGATATGTCCCCTATTTGAAATAACCTGATTATCATCCTCAGAATAGTGATTAGCTCATGTAAGATTTCACTCTCTATTTGTAAGACACCTCAGATTCTATAAAGCATCTAAGCAGTTTTTCTGAATACCAGAATTTTACCTGGCTTGACAAACGGTCTCCAGGGACCAGGTCTTGAGTCATCACCCCTTCTCGGAATCCGATCGTCATCCATGTTTCTCCAAGGCCCCCGGTCATCATCTGCACTGCGCCTAGAAATTCTGTCATCATCAGTACTCCTCCAAGGTCCTCGATCATCATCCAGCCCACGCCTGGGACCCCGGTCATCATCCATGCCCCGCCTGGGACCCCGATCATCGTCAGCATTACGCCAGGAAGACCGCTCATCATCTGCACCTCCTCGCCGTGGCCCCCGGTCCTCATCCATCCCACGTCTTGGTCCTCTGTCCTCATCAGCTGTTCGCCAGCTTCCTCTGTCCTCATCCAGTCCCCGTCTAGGTGGTCTATCATCATCCGCATGACGCCAGCTCCCCCTATCTTCATCACCAATTCGTCTGGGAGGCCTGTCGTCATCCATGCTCCGCCTGGGACCCCGATCATCGTCAGCATTACGCCAGGAAGGCCGGTCGTCGTCTGCCCCACGGCGAGAGAACCGGTCTTCATCAAGACCACGTCTAGGACCTCTGTCATCATCCATGCCACGCCGGGGAATGCGATCATCATCTGGTCTAAGAGAAGACTCTCTCTCTTCCTCATCGCCCAAACGCCTTGGTCGATCTTCCTCTCTTCTATGAGGCCTTTCCTCATCCCGCCCCTCTCCACGTCTCCACTCCCTAGAGAGCAACAAGCCAAACATCTTTAAGAGTCCATTTTCTGAAAAGCACATGATCTTTTGGGGAATTATTTCACTCCCTTTTAAAAACCACTGCAGCCTAAATTCATTATTCCTAGTCCTGAAAGAATATGTGCTCCTAATAAAAAATAACACAATATAAAATTTTACATCAACAAATAAAGCAACTACCTTAAAAAGGTGTCTAATTGCACTTTATAAGAAGCATCCAATTTCTAAATCTATTACTATGACCTTTCAAAATTCAATTTCTGTATAGGACTTATGACCAACAATCTTGCCTATCATGAGCAGGCATTTTTAAAGGATGGTTCAAATCTACTTAATAAATTTAAAGGAAAAGGAAAATATGTTCTAGAACTGTTCATTCTTACTGTAATCTTAATAGTATTCAGTTAGGGAACAAAAAAATCTGAAGCATGTATTTGTCAAAATATTTAGAAAGTCAGTAATTACAGCACTGTTGAAGTAAACTATGAAAAACATTTCTGTAACAGACATGCATACAGTTCTTCACGATTCTCCTTTCCACACCTCCACAAAATAAACCAAACTTAAAACCTGCTATAAGGTATTATGTAGGGCCTATGACTAATCAACACTATTGTCCTTGACTCTACTTACTTCTCTGGTGGGCCTCTTCTCCATTCGGAATCTACTTCGGGTCCTTTCCTCCAGGTGCCTTCTGAATCTCTGTCTCCCCAGCGAGAGTCCTACATTCACCAAAGTTAATGTGAGGCACTACATGGCAACACTTACTACAATTACTGGTTGTTACCAAATGTCTTTGCACTTTACATCAATCTAAAGTCCTTAAATATAAACAAGTTTTAAAGTTGTTTCTTTTTTAGCCTTAAGTCAGAGTGACAGTACAGTGAAACTGGCATTCTCATGTATCGAGTGGCTGTATAAATAAAATACCACCTGAAAGTAATCTGGGACCCCCCCCCCAGAATTACTAAAATATCTACAGATCTCCTTTGACTTCAGATTTTCCTTTTGAGATTATGTGAAAACAGCTCAGTGCCCTAAACGTACATCGCAGTGCCTACTAAACAGAGGTGGAACAAATGAAATGTCAAATGGGGGGTGGCTCAATTAACAGTTACTTCCCTCTTCAAAATACTATGTTGTCATTAAAAATTATGGAAAGGGTGTGGGGAGATAAACACCCTGCAAGCAGAAATGTAAACGTAGTACAGCCTCTGCAGAGAGCAGTGCACACAACGTTAATCACCAACACCTCTGACACAGCTTGACTGCTCGACAAACATAACCTGAGGCCACAATCAGCAATTAAGAATACTGTGGAAAATACGAAACAAGACTTAGGGCAGGGGTGGAAGGAGAAAGATAAAAATCTAACAAAGTTAACAATCCCAAGTAGATGAGTAAGAGGATCTTCATTTAAACTTTAGAAGTGTTTTGGAAACAAAACCCTCTAATAACAACTAGCGTTAAGAAGCAGTGAAGGGTAACAGCCAGATGGTAAGTCATCTGCCATCATAACTGACTCTGACTCTTGTGGTGGAGGTTGTTCTAAGAGACTTTCCCAAGTGGACACCGTGGGAGAGAAAGGAACACAAATGTCAATGAAACTTATGGTCACTACAATGGAGGGACCAAGTTCCTCCCACTCTTCACACTCACCCTACAAATTAAACTCTGAACAAAGAATTCAAGTTATTAGAGGTTTTCATAGAACTAGCACCTCAAAAGAGATTTTTAGGGATGGCTATGATAGCTGTTAAACAAAAAGAATTCTAAAAAGTAACATGAGGGACACATGGGTGGCTCAGTCAGTTAAGCGTCTGCTTTCGGCTCAGGTCATGATCCCAGGGTCCTGGGATGGAGCCTCACACTGGCTCTTTGCTTAGCAGAGAGCCTGCTTCTTCCGCTGCCTGCCACTCCCCCTGCTTGTGTGCTCCCCCCCCATGACAAATAAGTAAAATTAAAAAAAAAAAAAAAAAAAGTAATACTATGATTGCCAAAAATTTTTAACTCAAATGATAGATCAAACAGAACAGGCTCTGCTAATAAACATATAAACTGAACAGGAATCTCAAGGAACCAGCTACAAAAGGATAAAGTGATGAAAAGAGTGAAACATTAAAAGAGAAAGAATAGGACTTTTAAAGGCAAATATAGACAACAGGAGAAAAAATTTCCATCAGCTAAAGAAATTTAATCTTCTCTAAGGTAAACAGATCGCATCCTCTGACTAAAAAGGCACAAGTGCCCAAAAAGGGTTAATGATAAAGACTATATACACTTAGGGGACTAGGCACAGTCTCAGTAAAATCTTTACACTCCCTTTACCCCAAGGATAGAGAAAATTCTGAAAGTTCCCAAGGAATAAAACAGAGTATCTACAGAAGTAACAAGACCAAGACTTTTATCAAGATCCCCTCCCATCCCCTGTGTACTAGGACAGTAAGCACTGTCTCGAAACTTCCAAGGGAGGATTTTGAAGGGACAAAATCATCACACAATTTTTCAACTGTGAGAAAAAAACAAAACCTCTTTTGAGACATACACAAAGACAGCCTGGAAAAAAAAAACCTGAAAGGATATACAAAACCAACAAAAATGTATCTGCAAAGGAGAAGAGGTGACACAGTATAAACATATTTGAAACTAAACAGTGTTTGCCAATATGGTTGTACAACTGTTAAGGGAGTCCTGAATAGAGAACATGTTTTCATGAGCTGGAAGTAAAAATGCTCCACTTATCCCAATGAAACAAAACTAATGGCATGCTCAGAATTTTTTGTTCAGAGAAGACAGTTCTTAAAATATACAGTCTGTGAAGTTTAGATAAATTTTAAGAAAAAAATGGATGGTAATCACTAGAAGAATACAAAAAAAAATGAACTGAGAAAAGTTCTTAAATTTGGCTTAAAGGAAAAGGTAGCAAGGACATGGAAGTAAATAAAAAGCTCTAAACTAAATGTTAAGAATAAAACCAAATACAGTCATTACCATGTTAAATGTGAATATATAAATCTAAAGATTCTCCAACTGAAAGGGAAGGGAGGAAGAGGGAGGCACAAAACAGAAACAAAAGGCTGAAAATGAACGAAAGGATGAATAGACATTTGCAAAAACTAAATTAAAAAAACAGAAACCCATAATCACAGCAAGTTACCTCCCTTTCTTCAGAATATGAAGCTCCCATAAATTAACAGAATGTAATAAATTAAAATAACACAACACTTCTGATTCCATACATACACAGAGAAATTTGTGCCCAACAGAAAAAGAATACACGTAACACATGTTTTAGGACACAAGGGGAGAATGTACTGAATTCCAAAAAATTAGAAATCATACAAACCAGTGGCGCTTGGGTGGCTCAGTCGGTTAAGCATCTACACTTGGTTTCAGCTCAGGTCATGATCCCAGGGTTAAATCAAGCCACATGGGGCTCAGCAGGGAATCAGCCTGTCCCTCTCCCTCCCCTTATGCCCCTTCCCCCACCAGCCAGGGTGCGCACACTCTCTCAAATTTATTTTTTATTTTTTAAAACAATCATATAGGCCACGTTCACTAATATTGAAGAAGTAAAAATAAAAATTAGCAACAAGAATAACAAAACCAAAAATCTATCCATATACATCTTAAAAAGAAATCAAAGAATAGCAGGTCCTCCAGTAAAGAGAATTGACACCAGTGTGACAGAAAGGAATGGAGAAAGGCAGGCAAGAAATCCTCCCGCTACTCACCTCTTAACTTAAAAAATAAGTATCTTATTTAAGGGGGAACATGGGCACATCCAAGGGAAAACAAAGAACATGCAGATAATGTCACAGAAACATGGTAAGGCATCAAACTAGCTTGGAAGGGATAGAGTATATAGGTGACTAAGAGGAAAATGGTGACAGATGAAGTTGATGGAAAGCAGCAAACTAGAAAAGCCTGGACTGCTAAGGCAGGTTTTACCTTTGGCTAGAAGTACTGAGTACCAACCAAAAGGAAGATGAGAAACACAAGAGCAGGTACAACGATCAAATATGCGTCACAGGGGAAAAAAAAAAAATCAAGCAGACCACAATGTAGAGAAGGTCTAAAGCTGGGGAAGATTATAATCAGAGAAAATAGTAAGGAGACCAGTAAATAATACAGGCAAAAGGAAATTCTGAATTAAGGCAGTAATGTAGGAACAGAAAGGAGAGGAAGGGGTAGATTCAAAACTCCATGATTAAGTGGGTTAACGGTGTCACCAATCAGAAGCAGGAGTTAGAGACACAAGATAATCAGAGACACAAGATAGAGGAGGAAACACAGGTCAGTTTTGGACATGTGTGCATATTAATTAAAAATAAATATTCAGGGGCGCCTGGGTGGCTCAGTCGGTTAAGCGGCTGCCTTCGGCTCAGGTCATGATCCTGGAGTCCCGGGATCGAGTCCCGCAT